CTGACTCTCACCCTTTCTCTTTATCCTGGTGATCGACTGGATTATGAAGACGTCAGCATCTCAGGAGGAGAACGAGATACGGTGGACAGCTAGGATGCGGCTGGACGATCTGGACTTTGTAGATGACATAGCCATTCTATCACATATGCAACAAAAAATGCAGGAGGAGACAGTCGGTGTAGCAGCAGCCTCTGCTTCACTGGGTTTCGTCGTATACAAGAGAAAAAGCAAGATCCTCTGGTACAGAACAACGTGCACCAACTAAATCACACTTGGCGGAGAAGCTTTGGAAGATGTGGAAACCTTGACATATATGAGACGCAGTAAACAAGTTGGATCTGATGTAGATGTAGAGATGCGGATTAGCAAAGGAAGTGGAGCATTTCTACAATCGAAGAACATTTGTAACTCAAAAAGATTACCAACCAACATCGAAGTTAGAATATTCAATACAAATGTCAAGACAGTTTTATTGTATGGGGCAGAAACTTGGAGAACTACGAAAGTCATCATCCAAGAAATACAGGTGTTTATTGACAATTGTGTATGCAAGCTACTTCACATTCTTTATCAAGACACCATCAGCAACAGTCTGTACTTTAGAAGAACAAACCACCTTTCAGCAGAGGAAGAAATCAAGAAGAAGCTGTAGAAGTGGGCAGGACAAACAATGAGGAAATTACCCAACTGTGTCACTAGACAGGCCCTAACTTGGAATCCTCAAGGCCAAAGGTAAAGAGGAAGATGAGAGAACAGATACGCTGGGAATTGGAAACAGACACGAAAAGAATGAACAGCAGTTGATTGGAGATGTAAAGGAACGCTCAAGACAGAGTAGGTTAGAGAATGTCGGTTGTCTGTCTATGCCCTATTACCAAATATGAATTTTACTAAACATTGAGTAGTTATGACACGATCGATGCTAGTAATTACTTTCAGTTTAGGTCATAAATTTCTATTTAGTCATATCGGTTTCCTACTCTGAACTCTCATGCAATCAATGTCAGTGTCAGTTTAGGGATTATTTCCAGTGCAGTCTTGCAATAAAATTGAATCATTCAATAAAACAGGTGGTTAAATACATTTTTACACCTTGGGTATAGTAAAATCTGCAGGAAAAAAATAGATGAAACTAATTTAAAATTATTTTCTCTTTCAATGCAATATAGAACACGAGATGGACGAGGTGGATACCGCACACATTGTTGACTGTTGTATGTAATTTGACCACTATCAATGTAGCTAATATTATGTATGCAGATGCTTATAGTCAATTTCGTCATCAATTTTTCTCAATCCTTTTCACGGTGTGGGCAGCCGGGAAGTGAAAACCGCCCTCATACCCGTAACAGCACGCGAGACCGAGCCGGTTACAAACAAATCCTTCCTACACCCCCTAATATCCCTCTTATCTCCGCGAATATATCCTCTAGCATTCCTTTATCACGCTGCACCGCTAAAGCAAACGATGTGAGTTCACGAAAAGTTATTCCTGGTCTCCTGAAACCTCTTTCTAGATTACATGTTGGAGCGACTGATGTCCGAACATTGTGTCGAGTAAGGCAACAACCTTGCTTAGCCAGGACTTTAGAATCTCGCGCCATCGATTTATGCTGCAACCCCAGAACGATGATACAGAATGCGAGTGGCGTCATCCGTTTGACCTCACCATGTAAAAATAAAGAAGCAGCTCCATTTAATCTTCGTGTATCTGGAAGCCCCGGAGTCTCGCTAGTGTATGTATTGCATTGACTCCTAGGGTAGAACTCGACCTATTAGGATGGATCCCAATAGATGATCACTTGTGCGCTGTCTGACTTAACGGGACAGTAAGGACGCAGAAAGATAGAGACAATCACTGTTGCCTATTAGTTATCCCTGCTTACGCTCCGACTGACTGCAGTTCAGACGAGGTTAAAGATGAGTTTTACAGAAAGCTTTCGGACCTCCTTCAAAAAGCTAGGCGCTACGATATGGTAATAGTGGTTGGTGACTTCAATGCTCAAGTAGGTAGAGTAAGTGAAAAAGAAAGACACCTGTGTGGATCTTATAGTGTCGCGGCTAGTCGGACAGATAATGGGGACCGTCTGTTGCAAGTAACCGCCTATTTCTAGCAACCATTACCTGTAAGCATTAGGTGAAACATCCCTTATCCTGGCGACCCCCGAAGTCTTTTAAATGTTGGACCCAACTAGATCACATTGCCATCAGTTACCGATTGAGGGGTTTGAGCGAGGACTGTTGCTCGTTCTGGGCCACATGTCTGGATTCAGATCATGCCGTAGTGCGAGCGCGTATTTGTTTGAGGCTTACTGGACGCTAAAAAAATGTCTCAAGGAAACCTCTTGGGGTTCTATTTGATGATAGCATAGCTACGCATATATTTCAGGAGCAACTAGAAAAGCAGTTAGGCTACCATGTCAGTGATCTCCATCCAGAGGCAGGTTGAAAATGATATAAAAAAGGCTGTGGAAACAGCAGTGATATCTTCTAGTAAGGTAAACCGTAAGATTAGGGAGAAGCCGTGGATCTCGGTAGCATCCACCGAAACGATAGATACTCGTAAAATCATCACATCTGGCTCTGAACATGATAAAGAGCGAAGTCAGCTTGAGCGCAGGTTGATAAAAAGCCTACGCAATGGTCGCGAACAGTGGTGGATAGAGAAAGCGAGGGAGATAGAAAAGGCAGTGGCGATAGGCAACAGTAGACAGTTGTCTCGACGTATTAAGGAATATAGCATTAGGAATCCGAATGTGAGTGAGACTGTCTCAGAAAAGGCTGGGACTGTTATTCATTGTCAATCTAGGAGGTTCGATAGATGTGCAGAACACTTAAGGGATCAGTTCAACTGACCTTCAGCCACACCTCGGTTGCTCACGATCTCCAGTCATCCTGAATCGCAAGTCGACGTAAGCCTCCTGAATCTCTATGAAGTTGAGAAAGCGATAGGAAACCTGAAGCGAGGGAGAGCAGCAGGTCCTGATAGACTGACCCCTGAGATTTTTAATGATAGTGGTCCAGTTCTAGTAGCTAGGTTGACCGAGATCTTAGAATCTGGGAACTGGGCGTAATACCATCTGACTGGTCTAAATCACTGATTGTCCCAATCTATAAGAAAGGACAGAAGTCTTCTTGTGACAGTCACAGGGGAATCAGTCTGACTAATATAGTATCTAAAATATTGGCCTCAATAACACTCCTATGCTTAACTAGATCACGTGAAGAGCAGACAAGGGAAAACCAGGCTGGTTTCAGACTCGGACGTAGCTGCATAGACCACATTTTCACACTACGACATATTCTAGAACACAGGTACACATTTAGGCGTCCGACAATAGTTGTTTTCCTGGACCTTAAGGCGGCATTCGACTCTGTGTATCGTGAGGTTCTGTGGCAGTCTGTAATTGTGGTGTACCAAGGAAGTACATAACCCTTATAGAGGCTTTCTACTCGAACACCAGTGGTCGAGTGAGAGCCTATGGTGAACTGTCATCAGAATTCCTTACTTCAACTGGTATCCGTCAGGGCTGTCCTCCTTCCCCATTCTTGTTTAACTTTGTCGTAGACATGCTCCTAGATAAAACATCACCTTCGTCTGAATTTTCAGGAGTAGACCTTCTACAAAGAGATTCATTGGTTAATTTAGAATATGCCGATGACATAGTTCTATTCGGTGAAGACGCTGACAAAATGCAGAGTTTTCTGACTACCCTAAGCAACAATGCAAGCATGTTCGGGATGCGGTTTTCCCCCTCGAAACGCAAAATGTTGCTTCAAGATTGGGTTGCATCGGCACCTGAACTAGTGATAGGGAGTGAAGTAGTCGAACGTGTAGACCGCTTCACTTATCTTGGGAGTCTCATCAGTGCTGATGGCCTGGTGACTGACGAAATCACAGCACGGATACAGAAAGCCTTATTAGCTTTTGCCATCTGGTGTCACCTATAACGCAGGTGAAATATCCGTTTGATAACAAAAGGACGAGTGTAATATGCTGCAGTTTGCTCCGTCCTACTATACGGATGCGAAACATAGCCGGTGAGAGTAGAGGACATTCGTAGGTTGCTTGTCTTCAGTCGTAGGTGTCTCCGAAGCTTTGCTCGTACAGCCTAGGACAGCCGAGTAATCAATGCTGTCGTTAGCGGCAGCCAAACCAAAATATAGCAGAAATCCATGAAATCACTAACAAGTGAACTGAGACATGTTGGTAGATGTAGATTACTTGGTTCGGGTACTCAAGACGAAAATCTCCAATGGTTAGAGACTTTGAACGACATAGCACAAAATCGTTTGCAGATGCTCAGGGGCATCCACTCTTTGTGTTTTCTCAAATCCTAACCTTCTGAATTCCTCATAATCTCTATATTTTTCTTTCTAAATCTGTCTCACTGAATTATAATTCTTGAATAATATCTTCGCTCCCTAATCTTCTTCTTTACAACTAATACTTCTACCATCGTTACCACTATCGGATTCGAACTGACAGTTGCGTCCATCTGCTAATGCGGTATGACAACCTGGACTGAGGTACGTACGTACCAGGTTCTGCGTTGTATCTGTCTGCCTGTCTGTCATTTTCTCAATGGGCTGTTTGCATTGTGCTAGAAATTGAATTTTGGTAGTATTAGGTTAAACTATGTTTTATTATGTTATTAAATTGCATTAAAATGCAAGAAAATGGTCTTCTAGTTTTACTGACTTTAATTGTATATCAATGACGTGACAACATGTTTTTGATTACATCATGTGCAACCATCGATCAATGAGCTCATAGATGATTATTTCAATCTTGTCATTGGATTTCTGAGAAATAGTTAACTTCTTATTATGTCAGCAAATAAAGCTTCTAGCTTTTTCTGTTTCTCTGAATAATTGTAACAAAAAATTTATGAACCTATCAGACCTGTATTACTGTATATTCAAATAACTAGGTGACAATCAATCTAACCACTTCTATATTTAAATAGTTGCTTATAATCTGGAATTTTCTTTTGTGTGCCAATAGATTGATTAGTCTGAAAAGAACAAATAAGCTTCTAGCAAATTACATGCAAAAAAATCATATAAAATTAATCGAATCTGTACTTTTAGAAGTTTAGTTTTAAAATGTCACTCTCAGAAAATACATCAAAAACAGAAATGAACAGCAACATTCAAGAAGCAGACAAGTTAATAACACAACGTCAATTTCACAAAGCTTATCACTATCTCAAGGTTTCATTGAAAACTTACGATGATGTTGAATTGTTATGGCGATATGCTCGAGCGTGTTTTTTCTGTGGTAATGTTCTTTCTTCTTCTCATTACTATTATTATTATTATTATTATTATTATTATTATCTCGATGAACAATTGTGTTAATAATAATGATACTAATTATCATTCTTGTTATTAGTTTATTATGTTCCAACGAAACCAAGTAAAGAACACTGTGAAAAATATCTCACTGAAGGGATGAATGCTGCTAAGAAGGCAATGGAAAAAGATCCTAATCATGCTAATTCTTTGACGGTATTTTGATATTTTCATATAAGTTATTTATCTAATCATTACATCCTACTCATTAGTGGTATGGTATTTTATGGGATGAATGCAATCAGTTAAAAGGTTTGGAAGAAAGATTCAAATATGTTTTACAGTTATATGATATATGGACGGTAAGTTGATGTATTATTCAATCATTTGATGATTGATGTATAATGAAAGAAATCACAGAAGATTGATCCGAATAATTTTGTAACTGAAAGCAGTATAGGAATGTGGTAAGTGTTATTACACTGATTACATATTTCATTACATCTATTCAAGGCATTTTATTATGACAGAAGTATATAGTACAAAACCAGAACTGTTGAAAGCTACAAAATATACTGGAAAGGAATTTTCTTATGAATTGGTATGTAGTGAATAAATTGTTTGATGAAAATGCATTATTTTTATATAGGCATTAAAGCACATGTTGAAATGTGAAGAATGTAAGTATTGATTTCTAGACATGTACGCATATACAGAAATATTGATGAATGTTTTAATGACTAAGTGAATAACTTGAATTTTCTTTTCTTTCTTTTAAAAACATCAATATGGAGTGGCTCCTATGAGATCTGTAATAACATTAGCGTATTTGGCCAAATGCTATGCACGTCTAAAACAAACAGACAAAGCAAAAGAGTTTTGTCACAAAGTACTCAATTATCCTGTAAAGCACGTTGAAGCAGAGCAGGTAAGTAGATAAATGTTGATGTAAGTGTTGTGGCATTGCATTACATTGTGTTTAAGATTAGTTAGTTGAAGATAATCGTCAAGATGCTTTTGACCTAGGTCACACTAATTCTAGTTGAAACTGTGTAGCAATGTAGATTTGGATATATGAAAAAACTAACAGTGATCATGAGATTTGAACCGAAGTCACTCGCGATCAAAGTCAATGATACTACTTACTAGTTGCAGGTACGGTTTTATAACGAGTGATAATAATAATAATAATCGATTTACAGTTGCTGCCACCTGCTAGTTACGTAGGTGAGTAAACATTATTATGAAGAGGCCATACAAACTCATACAATATATTAGTGGGATCGCATGTACAAAACACTGAGATCATAGACTAATGAAGTAAAATTTATTTACCCTATGTTCAATGTTAGCGCTGTAAGATTTGTTGATGGAATGAATGCATTTGTGAACAATTTTAGTCATCATAGTGTAATATCAGGAGCTATTGTGTTTGCAAATTGATATGTTGAAGTCTAAATACAAAAGTGTATTTTACTCGAAGAATCGATGATTTCAAATAAAGGGATTTTTCAGATTGTGAAATGATTCTTTTGCGATTAGTGAATGGAATTAGGTCAATAAACTATTTCTTTCATTCGGACTGTGGTCATATTGTAATTACTGCATTGTACCTAGACTTCATCTACTCCATTTCTGTAATATCATCCATCATCAATGTATTATTAATGTTACCTTGGAAAATGTCTACCAAATTAATATTATATAAATATTTATATCTTTGATAATTTATAGTCTAAGAAAGAAGTTGAAGAATTAATGAAGACACTTAAATGATTGTGTTCTAAAAAAAATTATTTGTCTTCTATCACATTACAATTTCTAGTGTTTACTAACGTATTTCGTAGTGTTTTATGTGAATGAATATTTTATGAATATATTTGGTGTTTGCTCTCAATAGACTTTGTTATTTTAGTTCTGAACATTGAGTTTGATCGTTAATTGCTTATCCAAACAGGTATCTGTAAACAATCGTGTCTGACTGTTCTGCAACATTTTTCTAACCATATAAGAAAACATGTTGCTATCACTCACTTAATTTATCATGGTGAGCATTACGACTTGAGAAGTT